ATTAGCCACTGGGGCTACTTGAAGATTTTGTTTTTATTGGGGGTGAACTTTCCCTGAAAAAGGAAGAAATAGAAGAGGTGGAAGTGAATAAAATGCAGATTTTAAAATGTAAATAGACAAACACCGAGCAAAATGAGAAGAGATTGGACCCATTAAAACAGCGTTTATTTATTTATTTATTGTTTAACTATTTATTTTTTTAGTTTTAGGTGGACATGATATCTTTATTTTACGTTTATGTGGTTCTGAGGATCGAACACAGTGCCTCATGTATGCCAGGCGAGCACTCTTCCACTGAGCCACAACCCTAGTCCCTAGCATTTATTTTTGTAAAAGAGATTTCTTCTTTTGAATCTGCAAAGTAGATGGAAAGTTATGTATGGGCTATTTTCTTGTAGTGTTATGTTAATAGTAGGCTCAGGAAGCTCACTTAGGGGACAGTATTATAGAAGGAAAAATTTAAAATGGAATTATTGTATTCAAAGATTATTTAATGTTAACTTTATTCCTTTTAAATAGCTGTCACTGGAGGTCTTTTCAGAATGAATTTAGGCATTCGAGGCCTAGTGGCTGGTGGTATAATTGGAGGCTTGTTGGGGTAAGTGTTAAAATGATCGTATTTTAAATTTGTACATCTTCTATTAATGCCTTGCATTAGAAGTTAGAAGGAGCTGGAAGAATAAAACAGTTAATAAGCACATTTTATGAAATTTTTTTGGTTAGGTTTGGTTTAACTTAATAGATTAATTTTTTTCCCAACATTTAATTTTGAACAATTTCAAACCTGCAAAAAAGTTGAATGAATTAGTATATTCCTTTTACCCAGTTTCACCAATTGTTAACATCTTGCCACATTTGTTTTCTGTATCTCTGTATATGTGTGGGATATGTTTTTTCATTTCCTTTTTCTTTTTTCCCTTGAATAAAGCTTTTGAGACCTCATGATACTTTACCCCTAAATATACCAGTGTCTCTAGGATGAAATCAAAATACAATTATTACAATAAACATTGTTCTAATACTACTAAGATAGGATCCATATTCAAAATTCCTCAGTTATCACTATAATGCTCAGATTATTTCTCAAATAAATTTGATTGTCCCCTTATGATTAGATTTAGGTTATGTTTTTGGGAATACAGCATAGGTAAAGCAGTACCCTCTTTGTATCACATCAAGAGACATGTCACCCACTTTAAGTAATATTAACTTTAATTACTTGATGCATTGGTTTTATATTGCTGTGTAACAAATTACCACAAACTAACTCCTTAAAACAATACTCACGTATCATCCCACAGAACAGAAGTCCCGGTGAGCTTGCTTATTTATTTATTTATTTATTTATTTATTTTAGTTGTAGATGGACACAATACCCTTTATTTTGTTTAGGTTTTTCGTTTGTTTGTTTTTTAATGTGGTGCTGGGAATCATACCTCAAGCATGCTAGGCAAGCGGTCTATCACTGAGCCACAACCCAGCCCTGGGTGAGCTTATTTGCTTAGGGTTTCACAAGGTAAAAATCAAGGCGTTAGCCAGGCTGTGCTCTTATCTCAGGGTTCTGGAGAAGAATCTGCTTTCAAGCTCATACAAGCTGTTGAAAGAATCCAGCTCTTCATGTCGATAGGCCCAAGGTCCCTGTTTCCTTGCTTCCCATGAAGCAGATGCTGCTTTCTGTTCCTTGAGGCCACCCACATTCCTTCCACAGGTCCCCTCCAGTTTGAAACAGCAGCAGCACCTTGAAACCTTCTTGTACTCCTTGTACTTTGAATCTTCTGCTTCTGTCTGCCAGATGAACTCAAATTTAACTGAACAGTCACCTTAATTATATTTGTAAAATCCATTTTGCCATGTAACTTAATGCAATTATAGGCATAATATCTCATCCTGTTCACAGTGAAGGAATTAAGAAAGCAAATTTGGGGAGACTATTTTAGAATTCTGCTAAGGCAGTATCTACTAAATTTATCCATTGCAAAGGTATTCCCTTCCAGTCATGAATACTAAGTGTCTGTAGAATAAGACTATGTTAATATCCTACTGTCCAACTTTTTCCTCTAGTGGCTTTTATGATCCATTAATGATCCATGCTGTAATTGACTATGTTTACAAACTATTGTTATGATAATTCTATTAATCCTTCTGTTTTCATTAGTTGACATTCATATGAATAAAAAAC